AAGCTGATTAGAAGATCAATCAGCTGTGTAAGTTCCAAGTTGTGTCTTTGAACTCGAAGGTACATATACCTGATCCTCATCCCGTTTTGACATCTGGATCGTTCCTGAGACGGAGGTGGGGACCGGTCAAAGTACGTGTGTTTGTCACACGTGCTTCAACCGGTGTCAGGCAAGGTCCAGTCACTCTTCTCAAAAAATTCGTGACTGGAACCGCTTGACAAGCGTCATCGCATCGGTATTTCTGGACACCTATCCAGAACCATCGGAGGCCGAGGAAATTTACCCCCTGGTGTACATAGAACTTGCACGGAACTTGCACGGAACTTGCACGTCGGTCTCGCACGGTTTTCGTACCAGTTGGAACAAAATAGCTGGGGTCGTCAAAAAATTTAATGCGCAAGATTGGTGCAAGAAATCTTGCACGGATCTTGCACGTCGGTCTTGCACATTTCTTGCACAGGTTTGAGAACCATAATTTCAGTGTAAACTCCTCATCATTGGCTCAAACGTTCAAGCATTCAAAATCAAATCCATAGTTTCATGATTTCCTACTTTCTTCTATCCATCTTTTACGACATTCTTTATAAACTTCAAAATACTATGTGTAAAATTCAATCCAATCTGATCATCTTAATCTTTGAAAAACTCTCTCAGTATCAAATCAGATTTGAAACTTACATCATTACATTGAGTTTTATCATAATTATTCCGATCTAAACATTTATGTGCTGCCTATAATCATCATCATCATACTAGGTAAATTCATGGCTTTTCATTCAAAAATGGTCAATCAAGATAAAAATCACTCAAACTGTTCTAGCTGCTTGACAAGGGTCAACAAGTCTATAAGTTCAAATCGAATCGGATCAAACCGAGTTTAATAAGTTATAGATGAATTGTTTTTTAAGTAAAAAGAAATTTTGAATTGAACTTGCTTTGATGGTATTTTGGATTCAGCTGAGATTGGTTTTGGATAAGAACGACTGGAGATTGAGTCTTGTTGAATTGGATTCGATCGATCTTGATCTTCATTTCGTTTCATTGCTTTAAGGAATCTTGTCAAATGGTTTTGGAATCAACCCAGCTTTTTCAAAGCCTCAGTCAAACTGAATTCATCAACGTACTTAAGTTTATGTAACTTAACTTAAGTAGTATAATCGCTATGGTGCTTTTTCACCCTTCATAAGCAAATTGAAGAAGAAAGCTCTAACCCTCTCTAACCTGCATTCTCCTGCATTGAATATCCTGCATTGAACAAATTGGAGAAAGGACAAGCGACATCAATCTTTCAGTTAAGATGTGAACACTCTCCATAACGAACCTTTTTGAAAAGAACAGGAGCTGAAAAAGACAACAAATGTGACACTTGCAAAGCGTATCATTCAGAAATGAAATCAAAAGAGGGAAGATCAAAGTAGATATATATTCAGCGCTCACTCTATTGTACATAGTTACACCAGCAGTTTTCCCCTACTTGGTAAAATATATTGAAGAAACAGTCCTATTTGTTCATTTGAAAACGTACACTTATATAAAGGATCCTAAATAAATAACTTTTCCTTGTTCATTTTTGGGGAGCTTTAGTTGTACACATAAAGAAGCTGTTGGTGGAGTCTTGATCGTCCGGTCATTGATACAAGAAATAGAAGATATTTTTCACTTTGATTTCGTTTGCATTTCTATGCTTCTCGAGTCTCCATGCATCAATGTCCTCTTATTTTTAAGAGTGAGAACTACTCTTTTTTTCCCTTACATAATGGCAGGTTTCTTTCGGATGATAGGTTTATGTGTTTTGTATTGCTGACACTGACCAGTGTAAAGTGTAAATTCTATAGAGAGGTGATTTTTTTTATTCAAGTGATAAATATCAAAGATATAGCTCAAGTAGTGTTGTTTTCATGTCTCTCTTTCCTAAACTGACCCTGTCATACAAGCTTGTTATATATTCAAACAATGTGTGATGCTATCAATACAAGAGATGAAGAAAGAAATCTGGATATTTAACATGGTCCTGATTTGGTTGACCCCTAAAATGGTGGATGACCGAACCCTCAAACTTCCATACTTGGCTTGAAGGTCAAATGAGCGCTGAGATGAAGACTATAGGGTCATGATCTTCATCTCGAGGCTCATGTGACAGTCACTTCCGAGTGAGTCTCTCGAGATGATCCTCCCATCACAACTTGCAATCTGAGCAACGAAGGTCATCAAATTTCAAGATCTTGATTCATTTGCTTCCACTTCAGGCTCAGCATTCCATCATTTTGTCGTATGCTCTGCACACACTGCACAGCATGTCTTGAACTGAAAAAATTGAGTCTTCTGTACAGCATCTACAGATTCCCTTCAGTCGGATCATATCACCTCGTGAATCTGGTGCTGTGTATACCGTACTTCATCAATTTCCTCTTATTCTAATTGAAAGTTATGCTCCTTGACCTGTTCTTTTCCTTTATCAATTCACCTGGCGCTGTTCCCTCATCTCTTTATCACCTACAAAATCGTACTTTCCTTTTTGATTATAGGTTTAAGTGTTTAATATTGTTCATACCGCCTAGTATATTTATTGGAGAAGTAGAAGTTCATATATTCCGTGTAAAATTGTCATCAAAAAAGAAATGTCCAGGTGATTGTATCGATTTGCAAAAAGTTTCACCAAAATTCTTCGCTAATCCGCTTGAGTCTCAATGAGCTGAAGAGAGTCTCATATTAGATAAGCTTAATCGAACCAGCTTTATGGAATTAAATGAGTTGAAAGTTCATCATTCATGGCATGAAGTGAGGATTGATGATGTGATGCGGATGATGAGGTGATCATTTCAATCGGTCATCAAAACCAATTGTAATCAATCCAAATTATCCAAAATGAAAAAAAGGTTTTTGTTAAGAATTTAAACCGATTCAAGATTAACGAATGAAGTATCAAATTCTCAATGTCAAATTCGATTCGATTCGATTCATTCATTCTGTTTTTGTCTAATGAGGTTGAAGCTTGATGACCTCATCCAATCCCGAAAATGATGAGCTGAGCATGCTGACCGATCATTATCTCATCATCATCTTATTCTCATCTTTTTCAAACCCAAGATGGAGTTCACTCATAATCAAATTGACATCATCGTCTTTTTGCTAAAAGTTTGATCAACTCATCATGGGTGGTTCTTTGATTTGATGATTTTCTCAATCCAATCTTGATTATCTAAACTTGATTTCGATTTCAATATATAATCATTCAGTTCATCAATAGCTTTTGATCGTTCCCTTTCTATAAATCTTCACATCCATCCATTCAAACTCATCAACTATCTCTTCTAGAATTCATCATCAAAATGTATCCTCTTCAACCTAAACTCACTCTTGATGGTACTTCAATATCTGATCATCATGTCTTTCCAACTTCATCTCATCAACTTAGACCTCATCTTAATTCATTAGGATCTTGGTCTCCTTTTATCCTTCCATCATTTCAAATTATTGAAAAAATTGCCAAAAATCGAAAACATTCATCTTCATCTAAACCTCTACAGCCTTTGATATCATCATGTTAGTGATTTCTTTCATTCTTTATTCTGATCACACTTCTCGCAATGAAGCAGTTTACCTTTAAGCTTATTTTCTTTAAGCTTAATTCAGTACAAGCTTACGTTATGTAATTCACAAAACGTAAAACCCTTGTGAAATTGCATGTTGACTCTCCATCTTTTGATTTGATCACCTGTCACACTCTCTATCACAGCACCCCACCCGGACTCTGGACGATCTCCCGAACTTTTTCCTTCGGACACCTCACAGCTTCACTTGGTACCGAGTAATCCGGCTATGGTCAATACCGGTATATCCGACGCCAGATCGACAACAGAATATCCAACATTGTCAACTTCTGACTTGACTCCAACCAATCTCATTCAACCTTCTAGTTCTCATCAAAGGATATTCCCTCAACCTCCTCCAGGCTTCAGTTTACCTTTAAGCCATTGGTATCATCCCGTCTTACTTCCTCAGGTTGGCTTACCACCATCAGCTTCAATTCCGAATGGCAAAGAATACAACCCGAATCTTGTGTCGACGTCTTGCTCACCTTCTCGATCCATTACAAACGATGGTGTTGGAATCCCTTCATGCTTCGGAAATCAATCTAAAATGTAAGACAATTTATGCCAATATGATCTTTCGACATAATACTGATCAGGCTTTTGTCCATTTCAACTTCATTTACCTCCAGCTCTAACGTACTACCATCCCAAGGTGAAGGCGTAGGTGAACACCATGTCGATCCAATGCCTACGCCTGCTTCTGTTATTCAATCGGAATTTCACACCCCTCGCTGTAATACCTTTTTTGATTCAGACGTAGACTTCCCTCAATCTTTACCACCTCTGGAAGGTCATGTAGATTGTAGTCTAGTACGAGAGGTGGTTTGGGAGGAGTGGGCTCATCGTAGGGTAACCAAGATGGTGGAGAAAGAAACTCAACTTACACCTCAGAAATCGAGGCATTGTGGAATTCCTTTTCAACTTCGACATGAGGTCGTACGCTGGCTTCTAGAGGTTAGCTAGATGCCGTGCATCCCTTGAATATATTTCATTTGATTGAATCTGACACATTCCCATTTGTCTGAACCTTTAGTTCGAGTTGTGCATCAAGCACTATCCTCCAATCTCTCCTCCCACCAGACATCGGGCTATCACCATGTTTTCAACATTCTGGTCTAAACGTGGACTACCCCAAAACTTGTCACCGGGTGAGGCTAGATTGGTGGCCTGTCGGTCAGGTGTCGCATGTATGGTACTGGCCTGTAAGGCCGACATAGACGTCTTTCAACCACTTTTTGTCTTATCTTTGAACATCTGGGTTAGTCGAGTGGTGGATTCTGGATGGATTCCAGTCGATGTCAATTGTTTAGCGGTTAGTACGACGATTTTTACGTTCAATCTATTTTGAAGCCACGAGTGACTTATCACTTACAATTTTTTTCGCAGGCATATGAGCGAACGATTCTCAGGGAGCTTTCATATGAGACAACAAAAGCCACTCCTTTTGACCTGGTTTCCGAACTTTCTATTGCTTCACCTGAGTTGGAAACACTCATGAGCCATTGTGGCGAGGATTGGGAGTTGATCGAAGAAACATTTGGAATCATCCTTGAACAATCCGTCCAAAGTGAGTTCATATGAAATTTTCATAATGACTCATTCATTCGAACGGCATGTCTGACTTTATCTTTCTCACAGATCAAGGTTATCTACAGTTTCGAACTTCTGTGATGGCCGCAGCGGCCTTATTTCTAAGTATGGAAGGTTGCCTTTTTGATCATCCCCTGGACCAGATGGCTACTCAAGGTCGACATTGGGTAAGGGACTCAGATGGATCTTGGCATAAAACGATCGATCGATCATCTCCGAATTCGGTCAGGGTGAAAATCGTAAGCGAAGTGATGAGTAACAACCATCTCATAGAGGTGGTTGAAGAAGATATCAAAGCTTCGATTATCCTCTTAATGGACTTGAACGAGGTAAATGATTAACTTTTGCTATTGTATGACTACATTCCCTTGGCCTTTCTACATGCCGTTTTTTCTCGAGAGCCGTGTTGAACTCTACCTTGACCATAATCCTACTAGTTACTGATCGCTCATCTTGGATTTGTTCTTTTGATGATGAATTTCCGTTTCAGAATGAAGTCGAACAATGCAAAGACTGGTGTGCAGCATTATAATGAAGAAGTCGATGCATATTTCTTTCATGAGTAATCTTTTCCTCTTATTGTTATCAGTGATTTTTTGGGGCTTCTCGTTCTCTCTGGCCATATGTCGTTAAATCAATAGTTTATTCCGGTCAAGTTTATTGTTCAGTGTAAGAAAAAAATATGTTTTTTTGGTGATAGTCATGCATTGTAAAGTATAGCAGTAAAATGTAAATAGAACAACGATTTAATGAAATGTTTAATTGTAGAATTAGTACATAAATGTAGTTTTCACTTCAGTTTCATCTGATCACTTTTGAGCAGGTCCTCATTTATGAAGAGATCTTGTGATAATGAAGCATAGTGATTTATAAACGGGGTTATTTAATAGGTATAAAGGCTATTGTAGGATTGATTTGAAAAAGATGACTACAAATGCTGGGGCCTCATGATGATCATAGAACCTCTACCCCGGGCTCTAATCTTCATTGAGGAAAACTCTTACTTGTAGATAAGACTTCTTTGATGCGATCTGATCCAAGCGCGCTTTGAATGACTTCAATCTCATCTACAACGTATGAAAGAGAAAGAAATGAATTACTGTATGACACCGTAACCTTTGAGTATCTTTTGGTATAGAACAAGATGCCTACCTTGATGAAGTTTATTGATTTGATGAAATTGATTATTATTTTCTTGAAGGGTAAATTGGATTTGATTTTTTAAATTAATTTGAAAGTTATTTAAAAGTTTCTTCAAGTAAAAAAAGGATGAATGAATGAAGAAAAAACCAAGCCAACATGTTTTTACAAAAAAAAAAGTTAGATTCAAAATTAAAGGATTTCTTTTATCCATATTTATAAAAACAAAAGGAAAAAAAGGTTGAGTTGTACTTACTTTTAATTTTAATTTTCTTTTGATTAATTGATATTTTAGTTGAGATTTTTGATCTTGATTTGATTTTTGTTGTAGTGAGAAGTTTTGGAAAATTGAATGACTTTATTACCACCAAGAAAAAATTGTCATCATCGTCGTCAAAAAGAAAGAAGGGTAAATGAGTATGAATAAATAATGACTTTAAAGATCAAAATCAAAGAAACTCAAAGTAGGATGGGCATATCACAAGAAGTTATGAAACTCACATTTCTTTATTTTGATTTTCTTGAAGTAATCTTAATTTGTTTTGATTTAAATTTGATTTAATTTCAATTTTTTTTAAGATTTCAATTTGTTTTTTCTTAATACGTTTTTGTACTCCGTTTTGTAAAGTTTCAAAAATCAATTTCATATCTAAACTTATATTTTTGTTTAAAATGAATAAAGTAAATAAACCAATGCAAATGTTGTAAAAAGAAGTTGTTTTTAATGGTTTTGAAAGGACAAAAAAAAGAAAGTGAGTATGGTTAATTTGATTACGGTTACCCGACCCAATTCAAAGTGATCATGAAGACTTACTTGGTTTGGGTAGGTAAACTTGAAGGAGGTGATTGTATTTCCATCTTTTTGAAAGTCACTTTTTTTGATGGAAGTTGGCTTGGTGGATGGAGTGCTCTTTAGAAGTAAGTTCTTGGTTGATCTGATTGAGAGGTCACCGTCTGATCCGATTGATGGGTAAATCAAGATGATGTCATCATTCTTTTCTGTTTACCTTGCTTTACCTACGCATTTATTGTAGTACAACATATTGATTTTTGATCTATTCATCTGTAGTCTCAATGACTTGTTGGGATGTCTCAATCCACAAGCAAAAATAGGTCTTGCAAATATTCTAAAAGACTATGTGGAGTCTGGACTAGCGATTGCAGGAAGCGACGAACAAAATACGCAAGGACATTTCACAGCGATGTGACGCGTCGGTCGTAATACCCAACCACGTCTATGACATCATGCTGAGATGTCCGAGCGGTCTAAGGAGCTGGATTCAAGTGTTACAACTTGCACTGATAGTGTTTCCCAGTAGGGCAACCTGCGGGGGTTCGAATCCCCCTTTCAGCACTTTCTTTTGCTTGATGCATCCATTGATTGATGAATTGCAATCAAGGTTTACTATAATTTTTGAATCCCTACGCTACTATGCTTCTAGTTGTAATCAAATTTCCAAGACTGTGGAAAAGAGATTTTTCTAGGATTCTCTTCCTGAGGAGTACTGCAATGGGTATGAATCAAAGGCGCCTTATGAGAAGTTCATATTTAAAATGTTCTATGCAACTTAGCAGTAGGTGGAGTACAACTTTCAAGTATGTTGAATAGCAAGACACTTGAGACTTTGATGTTTGATGTTTGATTGGATTGGATTGGATTGTGGTGAAGCATTCAACATTGGACAATCTGTGATCCTTTTACAACCCGTGTGCTCAATCAAGTTTTGCTTGACCATTTGAACTTCACGCTTTATTGATACAGCTGCATTACAGCTAGAAATGTAAGCATAATGCTTCAATCAAGTATCTTGATTGAAGGGCTGTTGACCACCAATCATATTCTCACCTACCACCACCATTGTGCCATTGTTGTATTTGTGTTCCATACTACATACAATGTTCTACTTTCTTCAATTACATTCAATATGTCAAGAGGTCCATCAAAACACCAATTGCAACTCAATGAGGAAGCAAAAGCATTGTACAATGTGTTGTGTATTTCTTTCTTTCTTGATGATATTGCCTAACCTTTCTTCATTCTAGTTCAACCAAGCAAAGAAAACAAGCTGGACTGTTGACCCTCATTGTGGCAGGAGTGGGATCCCTTATTATGAACAAAAGTCAGCTTCTGTTTAACCTTGATTCAAATCGTAGGACTCTGATCACTGATCACCTTTGAAATGTTTTCTCAAACCTGGACACCATTGGGAAGAAGTCAGCTTTGGTTTTCACTATCTCAATACATAATTCACTCATATTGATCTGTTTCAAGAACCAGGGTTGTTCAAGTTTCAAAGTCAATTTCAAGAGGAATTCAAAATTGTTTGCAGTGAGATTTCACCTTCTCTCTTGGAAATCTTTAATCAAACTGGCCTTTTGATTCATTTGATTTCACATCTTGATGTGAAATCAGCTTATTGCACCAACTTTAGGCTTGAAAAGCCCTCAAAAACCTAGACTGGAGTTATCTCCTACCAATGGATATCCCAATTTGGATGCCAGTCTTATAGATTCAACTTTTGGCAATGGAAACAACAAGATTCAAGTCATGTATGGTATTTCTGGTGATTCTGGATTTCATTTGTCTCTCAAAACCTACTCAGACAAATTGAAATGATTTTTATTTGTAATAGAACCACATAATGATGTGTATCTTGAATCACCTAGCCCAACCCCAGGAGCAAATGTTGTGGTGACCAAAGAACACAAACCAAGACAAGTGACACTATATTATCATGCCTATATTCCTAATCCGCTTACAGACACCAATAGAAAAAATGGCTTACCTCAAGCATGCTCTGACTGAAACACCAACAAACTTTTTATTTTCATGGTTCAAGGTCATGAAACACATTGATTGAACTGAAGGACAGTCTTTTTGGTCTGTGTAACAATACCAAGAAAGGCTGTGGAAGATTACACAGGATCACTATCAATGATGAACATGTCAATTTTCAAGGATATGTTACCCATGGTGGTATTTTTCATATGGCATTTATGCCATTGATGCCATTGATTATAATCAAATCCTCTTTTACTACATCCCAGGATATGACAATTGACAAGGATGGGAAAGAGGTTGGCTTCAGTCTTGCTAGGGAGAACCCAAAGAAGACAGCTCACAATAATTTAATTGTGTTGTCATTTTCATTCTCTTTACACTTTTCTTACATTGTTCTTGATCCACATCTTGATCTTATCACCCAGCAGGAAGATAAATTCAATACAGCAATGAATCATCACAATCCAAACATGCTGGATCTTTCTTGACATGCTGAGCTTGAGATGGAAGTAAGTAGTTTCTGTTGATCTTGTTTCAATTTTGAAATTGTTCTGATAGATCTTGTTGAACAGTCTATTGACATTGGCACAAGGGTTCAGGCTCTAAAAGTGGACCTTGATCACCAAGTATAGCTATTTCTTCATTTCTGGTAGGAAGTGTATGGCTTGTGCAAGTGGAATCATAGAGATTCCTTGGTTGCTCAACAAGCTACACTAGGTACCATTTCCAAATTCTCAATTAATTCTCAGATGTAGCTGGACTGAGTCTGCAGACTCAGTCCCACAATTGAGCAGGCAACCTGTTTTGGAACTCCACTCATCTTATGTAGTGAATTCTTCAACTGTAGTGATTTGGCTATCACATTGCCATATTCAATTCTGTACCACATTTTTCTTGAAGATTATTGGTATAAATTAGTGGGGTTCAAGTTAAACCAAATGGACTTATAACGGATTTTAAGCAATGTTCGGGAGTAACAATTATAGTTTTATTTATAAGCCATCCGAGCAGCTTTAGAGCTGCTCGGATACTTATAATTTATA